AAACAGAGGGCTGCAACGTGCAGCCGTTTTTCTCTTCCACTCTCCAACCCTTTCTTGTTTAAAATGGTCACGTAGTCATTTTTGGCTCACAATTTCAAAGTTTTCAATCAAAAAGTTCACGTGACTATTTTACATGAGAGAGTGTTAAAAAAAAAAAAAAAAACGACTGCATTTAGCAGTCTTCTTAAAAAAAAGAAGAAAAGTTAAGATTGTTGATGGTAGTGTTGGAATTATACTTTGTGCCACAAAAAATGACAACGAAGATAATTAAATTCTGCCATTGCTCTGCAAATTGCACGCCACTCATTGATTCCGATGGGTTCTGATCATTGCTACTAGTACAATATTCCAAAAATATGCTATGCTGAACGGGGATGCCAATTTCACATTAATAGACTTTTTTACTTTATCAAACCATCAATGTGATGAACTTCTTGCGGGTAAAAATAATAATGAAAAAAGGTTAAAATTTCCTGAACTTAAATTATGAGTTGCATACATTCATCAGTGGTTTCCTTTCCTCCTTCTATAGTTGAAACTAAAGAGAAATGTGCAATTTATTATCTTATCTGTGAGTATTTTATTCGAAAAACAAAAGTTTATTTAAAAAAAAAAATTCTTTTAAAACTAAATCTCTATAGGACAACTGTAGTATTACCTTTTTAATTATTCTCTTGCTTGCTTTAATGATTTTTCCTTTGAAATCCTGACATTTTGTTACGTGTACGTAGTTGCAGAGAACGCTGCATTTTAAGCTCTAAAGGCCTACACTTTTTCTTTATAATTTCCCATTAATTTTTCGCCTTCATTTTTGCTGCTGCAAGGTAGTTTTCATTTTCACTGAGATCTGGTCTGTGATACTGAGTACCCACAATCCCTGAAAAAATGGAAGCTTTAACATCCAGCTTTGCTGATGTGATGGTCTCTACTCTCTTCAATTTTATTTCTGATCGATTGTCGGCTTCGGAGTTAATCGGCTTTGCTCGAAAGGAGCAGTTTTTGTTCCAACTCAAGATGTGGAAAGATCTTCTGCCCAAAATCAATGCCATGCTTCAGGACGCACAACAAAACCACACCGCCAGTCGTGCCCTCAAACTCTGGCTCTCCGATTTAAGAGACCTTGCTTACGATGCTGAAGACATCATTGATGAAATTGAGACCGAGGCCCTGCACCGGAAAATACTAAGAAACGCTCAATTTGGCACCCCCAGCAAGGTACGCTTGTTATTGCTCCCATGTTGTGCTGGTCTTAATTCAAGTGGCATTAAGTTTAGTGGGCGGCTGGGGTCAGAGATAGAAGCTATCACTGCTAGATTTCAACAGATTCTTATGCAAAAGAATATTTTGAATTTGGTGGAGAGGGGTGGCCAGGGGAGATTGAAGACAAAAGTGGAAAGGCTGCCCTCTACTTCTCTTGTTGATGAAGCTCGGATTTTTGGCAGGGAACAGGATAAACAAGTCATTCTTGAACGGTTAATGGATGGTAATACTGGTGTCATTTCAATAATCGGAATGGGTGGTGTGGGCAAAACCGCGCTTGCTCAGTCAGTTTACAATGATGATAAAATTGAGAACTCTTTTGAGTTGAGAGTTTGGGTTTGTGTCTCTACGGAATTCGATTCTATTAGAGTGACTAGGACTGTGCTGCAGGGTGTTACTTTAGCGAGTCTGCCGCAGGTTGTTACTTCGGAGAGCCTGCCGCAGGGTGATACTTCGGAGAGCCTGCCGCAGGGTGATACTTCGGAGAGCCTGCCGCAGGGTGATACTTCGGAGAGCCTGCCGCAGGGTGATACTTCGGAGAGTCTGCCGCAGGGTGATACTTCGGAGAGTCTGCTGCGGGGTGTTACTTCGGAGAGTCTACCGCGGGGTGATACTTCGGAGAGTCTACCGCGGGGTGTTACTTCGGAGAGTCTACCGCGGGGTGTTACTTCGGAGAGTCTGCCACGGGGTGTTACTCCGGAGAGTCTGCCGCGGGGTGTTACTTCGGCGAGGCTGCCGCGGTTTGTTACTTTGGAGAGGCTGCTGCGGGATTTTACTTCGGGGAGTCTCAATTTCATGGACTTCAATTTGCTTCAAGTGAAACTAAAGGAGATGCTTTCTGGAAAGAAGTTTTTGATTGTTTTGGATGATGTTTGGAATGAGAACTATGAGCAATGGGAGGTTCTGCGAACACCCTTCATGGCAGGAGCGCCTGGGAGTAAAGTACTTGTAACCACTCGAAATGAAAGGGTTGCATCCATCATGACCACATATCCGGTATACCATTTACCGGTGTTGTCTAACGATGCTTGCTTTTTGTTGTTTGTCACACATGCCCTTGGTGCTAGTAATTTTGATGAACACCCGAATCTAAAAGAAATTGGTGAAGAAATAGTGCGAAAGTGCAAAGGCTTACCACTGGCAGCCAAGACTTTGGGTGGGCTTCTGCGTGGTAAAGTAAGTTATCATGAATGGGAAGATTTGTTGAGGAGCAAGATGTGGGACATACCAGAAGAAAGGAGTGGCATCCTTCCTGCTCTGATGTTGAGCTATCATTATCTTCCTTCCCAATTGAAACGATGCTTTGCCTATTGTGCTATGTTTCCAAAGGACTATGAATTTGACAAGAATGACTTGGTTCTACTATGGATGGCTGAGGGGTTAATACGACAAGCAAAGGGAGAAAAACAAATGCAAGTTGTAGGTCTTACATATTTTCATGATTTAGTTTCAAAGTCCTTTTTCCAACACTCAAATAGAAACAAAACACTATTTGTTATGCATGACCTTATAAATGATCTAGCTCAATCCGTTGCTGGAGAAATATGCCTTAATTTTGAGGATACCATTGAAGACAAGCCGCATGCATTTATTGCAAAGCTTCGTCATTTGTCATTCACTCGCCACCAGTATGAGATTTCCAAAAGATTTGAAGCACTAGATCTTGTGCAGTGTTTACGGACTTTCATAGCTTTACCAATGGATACATCATCTCGGGCAGCACACTATTACATAAGTAACGATGTGTTACAGGAGTTGCTGGCAAAATTCAGATGCTTAAGGGTGCTGTGTTTGAGTGGATACTGCATAGACGAAATACCATATTCTATTGGTGATCTGAAGCATTTGAGGTACCTTAATTTGTCTCACAGTACAATTAAACAGTTACCAGAATCTGTGGGCAACCTATTCAACTTACAAACACTTTTATTGCGAGGCTGCAGGAAGCTTACTGAGCTGCCACAAGGTATTGAAAATTTAATTAACCTTCTTGTCCTTGATCTTACTGATACTATGAAATTAGTGGAGATGCCATTGCAAATAGCCAATTTGAAAAATCTTCAGGCTTTGTCCAAATTCTGTGTTGGAAAGGACAGTCGGTTTGGCAATATTAGAGAATTGAAGGACTTGTTACATTTAAAAGGGGAGCTTTCTATTACTGGATTGGAAAATGTGGTGAATGTACGAGATGCTAGGGATGCTAATCTAATGCACAAGCATGGTATTGATGGCTTATGTTTGAAATGGAGTAGTGAGTTCCTTGATCACCGAAAGGAAGAAGGCGAGATGCTTGTTCTTGATATGCTAAAACCTAATAAGAATCTGAAAGAACTTACAATTTCATTTTATGGTGGTAAAAGATTTCCATCATGGTTAGGAGATCCCTCATTCACTAATATTGTGCACATGAGCCTCAATGACTGCAGTAAAAGCATGTCACTTCCATCACTTGGGAGACTGCCATCATTGAAGAAGTTGTTCCTCCAAGGCATGAATGGAGTCAAGAAGGTGGGTCTTGAGTTTTGTGGAGATGGTTTGCCTTCTACTCAGAGGTTTCCATCCTTGGAAATTCTGTGGTTTCAGAATATGTTAAAATGGGAACGTTGGTCTTCCACTCACGAAGGTGCTGAAGATTTAGCTGATGAATTTCCTTCTCTTCAAGAGCTCATGATAAAAAATTGTCCAAAGCTGACTGGGGACTTACCCAGACGCCTTCCTTCCCTTGTGAAGCTTATCATTAGTCATTGCCCAAAGTTGGAGGGTTCACTAGTGAGCCTCCCCTCCCTTTGCGAATTAAATATTGAAGACTGCAACAAGGAGCAACTGAAAAATATTGTTCACCTTACTTCCTTAACAACACTGAGAATCCGAAGTATTAGGGACCTTGCATGTCTGCCGCAAGAGATGCTACAGTCTCTAGGTGCACTTCAAACCCTTAATGTATCCAATTGCACTGAACTGACATCTTTGTGGCAGAAGGGTACTGGAATGAAGAACATAGTTTCTCTTGAGCACCTAAAAATAAAGGGCTGCTCCAAATTTGTATCTCTGATAAAAAATGAGCAAGGTCTTCCTAATGGTTTGGATGATATTGAATTGATCAACCATGGCAACTTGGAGAAACTGACTCTCAAAAGTTTGCATATTGAATCATGCCCAAAACTTGTATCATTTCCTGAGACAGGTTGCTTGTCCACACTTAGACATCTTAAGCTGAAAGACTGTGCAGCTCTAAAGAACCTGCCTGATTGGAAGATCATGCTTAATTGCAGGACTAGTGATTGTCTTCTTGAAGACTTGGAGATTGAGAAATGTCCTTTACTCACATACCTTCCAAGAGTCAACATGCTTACCAGTTTGCAGAGGTTGAAAATCCGAGGTTGTAGAGATTTGCAGTCTCTACCAGAGGGAATCATGCAGAACAATAACAGCACACACATGTGGGATCTTAAGAGGTTGGAGATTGATGATTGTCCATCTCTAGTGTGCTTTCCTGAAGGCATATTACCATTTAGTCTTAAAACACTGAAAATTTGTGATTGCTCAAAGCTGGAACCACTTTCAGAGCGGCTACTGCACAACAATGCATCACTTGAATACATCTATATTCGGAACTATACAACTCTCAGAAGTTTGCCAGAATGCCTATGTAGCCTCACACATCTGACTGAGTTAATTATAAGTAATTGTCGAGCTTTAATCTCCTTTCCAGAGACAGGCCTCTCACCCACTTTGAAAACCTTAGAAATCTATAGTTGTGCCAATCTCAAATCCCTACCTGAGAGGATGCAAAATCTTGCCTCTCTTCAATGTCTAACAGTTTGTGACTGTCCGTGTCTTGTGTCGTTTCCCAAAGGGGGTTTGTCCCCTCAACTATTGGTGCTGGAGGTCTGGGATTGCATGAATTTGAAGGAGCCAATGTCAGAGTGGAACCTACACTCTCTAGCCTCTCTTAAAGAGCTCATCATTGTTGGTGCACCGGATACAGCTTCCTTCCCAGATGAAAAGTGTCTGCTCCCTACAACTCTCACTTCTATAGTCATTTCTAGACTCAACAGTCTGGAATCTCTATCCACAGAACTGCAAAACCTGACCTCTCTTGAAGAGCTAGAAGTCAGCGATTGTCCAAAGCTTCAAGAGTTGCCAAGGGAAGGAATGCCTGCAAAACTTGGAAAACTTTGTATCAGAAACTGTCAACTTCTACAACAACGATTAAAGAAGAAAGGAGCATATTGGCCGTTGATAGCCCGCATTCCTTGCATAGAAATAATAGATGGTATCTATTCTTGTTTTCTGTTATGTTTGGATAAACTTTTGTTGGACTACTTAATTCTTGTTGTAATGGACTTTGCACTGCATTGGCAGATTGAATTCAGAAAAGACCCAGCAGTCAACCGTTGCAAGTGAGCCGTTTTTTGGTATCAAATTGTAGGAGGCTGGTGGTGATGGATTCAAGGAGGAGGAGAACCACAGATCCCCTTACCTTCTCTCAGAGCTACGGTAAGATCATTGACTAGATTATGAATATATTGCAAGGTTAAATTGGTCACACAGTATCTTAATGTTAAATTGGTTAAATAGATTTCTTATATTTTGACTCGTGCAAATTTAAACACATTTTCTCCATCAAACTTGGTGTTGCAGCACACTACATACAGAGGGAATAAAACACATTTTAGCTTGAATCCTGTTTTACGGTACATCTATACTTGTAGTCGAGATAACCTATCTTCCTTTTTACCTCAAAACACTTTACAGGTTTGTGGCATCATGTAATAACTTTGGTTTGCTGTTGGGTTTCTGCTAAGAGAAATTAAAGACTCCACACAAGTTGCGTAATTATTGTCTATATTGCGATACCCTGCTGATACCATTTTATACTCAAGATATGCTAAACAAGAACTTTGAACTAGACAAAAGGAGAGATTTGTTCGTGACAGTTGAGAATACCATAGTTGTTAAACTAGGTACGATCAGTTTCCAGTTTGTAAATCTCATCTTAAATCCTTCAGGCCTCCATTCACTTCTAGTTAATGTAACCTTACGCTTCTGCAGTTTTCAACATCTCATTTGCGGTCCGTTGTTGTTGTTGGCATTTTCCTCTGTGGTGTTTTGTTTGTTGTTGTTGGAATGCAAGTCTGGAGAAAGTTTGGGGGAAAGATACAATGCACGTTTGGCAGCTTAAACTGGAGGACCACATTTAGGGAATGGGTAAGTCATCTTCAGCTCCCTAAAATATCATTTGGAACTTTCAAATGCTATATTACCCTTTTTTTTTCCTTTCCCTGGCAACAATAAAAACTGTTTGCTTGGCAGTTGGGTCTTCCCTCTGGTATCACGGTCGAATGAATGTCTGGACCGTATGATAGAAACTAATCCAAAACGCTTAAATAGAATGCGTATTCTCCGTATCGTAATTCTTTTGCATGTTTCAGAGCGGAGTTGGCATCCAAGCACTGGCAGCATCTTCCTTGAGCTTGAGGATTTACAACTTCTGAACATTGGATGACACTAAACATTTGTACATATACTTGGTACTTGTATGAGCAAATAAACTGTATAGTTGAATTTGTTCGAGAGAGAGTTACAAGATTGGATAATCCTTACCTCTTTAGGGACGTTCTTCTACCTAACCTTACGCTTACCTCAGAGTTTGGAAGAGAGAGCTCTGCAGTTTTGACACATCCCCTGAGTTCTCTAAGCTCTGTTTATTGTCATTTACAGCCAAATAGATTTTATCTCTGTTATTTCTTAAACAGTTTATGGTATCAAAACATGGAATATAAATTTCAATTTTTTGAACTAGAATTATCTCTGCTTCCTCAATAGAGAAGTGTTTTACAAAATAAATTCATAAAACTTCTCTACTGTAACACCCTTGAGAAAACAGAGCAGACACTATAGATGTGAAAAACCAAAGTTTATTGGCTACAAAATTGAATATTAAATATGATCTCTCTAATTTAATTAGCAAAGAGAGCTGCAATACAGCAAGTCTGAGGCAGTTATGGTACAAGACAGAAATAAGAGCCTGTTTTGCAATGCTCTCCCAACATTTTTTGTGAGGAATAACTATATATCTATCC